TGGTAGGGACTACAACTAGTTCCTTCCCGGGTTCATGACATCACAAACCCAGATAAACCCCACCCTCGGGAAAAGGCAGCAAAGGGGGCAAGGCCATGCAGCGCTGCTTTAGAGAAGAGGAAGAGAAAACTAGAGGTGCACGTAAAAATCTATTCATATATGACACACTGGGCTAGCTAACCAATCAAAGCCCATCGCCTATTTCTGAGGGAGGGGCTTCATAAAAGCAGGAAATTGATCAGCGCGTTTCTCAGAAAAGGGACAGAGCGGTGTGGAATAAAGGTAAATTATGTGAAAAATAATGCGTTTTTTAAAAAACAAAGCATTAACACGTTAGACTGCACCCCATAAACACAATCAAGCCTAGAAAAAAAAAAACACTGAACCACCCCTTTAAGAACTAGTCTGACCAACTAGCAGTTAGCCAAGGGGTAATTGGTCTTACTTTTCAGATTCAAATTAGGCCAATCTACGTTATGACCAGTCTTAAAGAAACAAATTAGATAAACTAAATGAAACTTGTAAGACATGCAGTTTATGCAACTGGCCACTGGTATCTATGTACTGTACAGTTCAGGTCCTTCCTTCAATGCAGGTCTATGGGATTTTTTTTCTTTCTTCCATCCGCCATACTTTTATCACCACAGATGTCTAGCTATTCTTTACAGGCTGCATGGTTTGAGTCACCTCAAATGGTGCGAGGCAAAAGTTTAACGCTTAGAGCTGTTAGTCATAACCTCAAACTCAAACTATGAGAAACAGTAATAGTGATGCTTGCCTAACCAAGTGTAACTAATAATACAATGTCATACGGGTTGTGACATGCTGCTGTCCTCCTTCTATTGTTATTGTTATTTTAACAGTAGTTTATTCCTCACGTTTTGTTACCCTTGCTAGCAGCTTCACTGTTATCACAATACAACAGAATTTGAGGAACTCAGTTACTTCTGTTTTACTGAAATCCCCTTAATGGGGTTAAAACATTGAACAACTAAACTAAACTTCCTTTTCTACTTGTGTTACACTTATTCATACTGATACATAGTTTATGTTTGTGTTTTTTTTAATATTTCAACTAGCCTTAATTGAACTTGCTTGCGTTTGATCACCACACCAATATACATATTTTCATAAAAAAATAAAAAAATAAAATAAAATAATATAAAATAAAGTAAATGCAAATTTATAAGAACAATAATAATAAAGAAAACATTTCTAGTAAAGGCATTAAAGCGATAAATCACAACTAAATAGAAAATCTATAAGACAAGAGCTGATGAATAATCTAGACAACCCTTACAATGGCACTCAGGTATAGCAAAAGGAGGAGAGGACTCTCATTTTACCAGATAAATGCATGTCATTTCTAATGACCTTTTAATTATTTATCCATTAACAATAACAGCCTGTCAGAGAGATAATAATTTCTGATCAGATAGAGACTGCTGTGTGTTGTCACTGCATTATTTATCTGCTGTATTTGACAATGAGTTATATGGGCCACCGGAGGAACTCAGGGTCATGCTACAGTCACAGATATACACAAAGCCATCATACACATTACACAGCCCATGACAAACTCCTGAACCTGAAGAGAACCAGACTTCAGAATGTACTAAACAAGTCTTGAGAATATTTTCCAGTACAAGACAAACATTTGAGTTTTCTCGCTTGATTTTTTTTTTTTTTTTTAGAAGTATGTAATCAACAGTACTAAATATTCACCAAAAACATACAATGATGATTCTACAGGTTCCAGTTTGAGCCAAAAGGGTTTTACAGCCTGACTATGTAGAGTTATATTCAGTGGTTTAAATCCGTTCTCACCTGGTGTTAAAGTAACTTCACAAGAGTTAAACCCTGTGTGCGTATATTTCTCGGACAGCTGACTGGTTTGAAAGATGTACAGTCCAACAGAATGCAAATATCAAAACACTTCAACTTTCTTAGTCTATTTTTGACACTTAATGTACTTGTACAGAAGGCAATGATAACCAAAACTCACCCTCAAGCTGTGTATTACGTGAACCTCTCACTCTTCCCACGCTCTTTTCAAAACTGCTGACAGAAAAAGAAAAAAAAAAAAACTAGCAACTCTTTCACACTCACACCCACTATTATACTTCCTGTTTCTAGGACTGTCTGCCGAATCCCCCTCTACTGACCTTGACCTCTCGCTGTACCCCTAACCTTTTTATCCTCAGGATTCTTACCATAAGCGTCCTACGGTGACATCGTAGTGCGTGTAGGTCTACTGTGGGACTTCTTTCTCTCGCCAAAGTCAGCTAAAGAGTCTCCTACTCTTTGTCTTGCCCTCTTATTTTCTCTTTCTCCTCCTCCTTTCTCTCGCTTCTCAGTCTTCCATCTGCTCTCACTTTACGTTGATGGGAAATAGGGAGAGCAGGCATCCAGCCTAGACTCATTCACACACGCACACACACACACACACACACACACTCAAGATAAACAAGGAAGAGGGGCGGCAACTTGCAGTGCTCTCTTGTGTTACTCTTTCTTGTTCCACTCTTGTGTCAATTTATCTGAGGTAACACTTACTCTTGGTCCTCCTGTGTAATAAACTCAGACTGTCAAACCTGAAATAGTCCTGATACAGCACTTGTAAGGTAACAAAAATGCATGCATTTTATAAGAGGAAATGATTATAGGTAACCTTATTATGAACCCATTAAAAAAAGAAAAAATCCAAGAAATCAGGTTAATCATACTATTAAACACTCATGCGCATACTAGTGCACACACACACACACACACAGAGAGAACTTACTGTCATTACACACTTTTCCATGCATCCGATTCTCAGCATATTTACAGTAAACATTTATAAAAATACCAATGTTTATCCATACTTGGCATTAAAAAAAATGGTATGGACCAATGACCCTAAACTGCCCCAAAATGCAGAAGTGAGAGAATCTGAATGTGACGCCACCAAACTAGCTTTAATGTAGAGGTGAAAAAGTATATGCCACAAAATCAATGCCAATCACCACCTTTTAAATATACATATTCCACATCAAAATGCACCAACATTAAATGCAAATAAGTGATCTGCATTATACAGAAATGAGTCTTACCTCTGTTTCATTGATTTTTAAAACATGTCACCTCATTAAAGGCAGAGGTCAAGAGAGTGAAATGGCCTGGTGGTTTTGAACAAGGCTGGACCTGCCATATCTGGATCGGATTCCTCTAGACGAACTTCTAAAGAGAGAAGGAACACTACAAATGACATGCTTCTGCTGTTAAATACTGAAGACGAAAGAAGAGAGGAAATGATTTAGGAGGAAGAATGACAGTCATATAGAAAGTTAGAAAGAGCGAGAGTAGGTTTTACAACCACGGATCTATGCATCCAAACACACACCAGTGCTTATTAGCAGCACAATAACGGTTTTCAGAAAGAAAGATCAGAATCACACATTAATTCATAAATAATTTATAAATAAATTCAGAATATGGATTCAATCTGTGAACTCCTCCACAGTTTAAAACACATAAATAGCTTTCCACATATTGACAAAACATAAATAAAATGTATGACCAAAAGCTAGAATTTTCAAGAAATACATGCACATGTGGTAGTCTACTTTACAGATTGTTTTTTTTTTTACACCTGTTTGGTTGTGCATATATTACAAACAAAACAAACTATAATTCCATTACACCTCAAAAAAGAGAGCATACAAACTACTTGGCACAAAGTAAACAAAGTTTCATACAGTACATCCCTTCTCATTGGCTGGCACTACTGGTTGGTCTATATTTGTATATTTATATTTTTACTTGCGTATTTATCCGTTTTGAGACATTCATAAACAAGCTAGAGGGAATAATCATGATCTTTGAAGCATTTGGTGTGGTTGGACTACCAGAAATGTCTTTCAAGTAGACAAAGATGAATGCATTGAAGGTATCACAGATAAGATTTCTGGAACACATCAGTGATCAAGACTAATAGAGAAAAATGTATGACTAAATGTGCATATCTGTGCCTGTCAATCAAAGAATAGGCAGCCAATGTAAATAAACCTTGTTAGACCACTCCCCCAGCCATAACACTCCTCCCGTTCAGAAGGCCACGGAGAACATGTGGAATGAGCCCATAGACTCACGGTTTGGCAAAACTCTCGCATCTTCTCACATTTTTTGTTCTCACAATGTTACTGATATCTTTTCATTACAATGTGCTTTGAATAATTGTGAAGTGATAGTTAAAATGTATAGCATTCTGCTTTTCTCTTCTCACAGGGCTCCCACAACTTTTTACCAATACATTTCCGTGACTTTTCCAGTTGTTTGATAAACTAGATAATTTTGTAAACAATTTTGCAAAAAATTCAGAAACTGCACTTACCAATTTCTAACCAACAAATTGTTTAATGCTGACTTTTTAAGATTTAAAAAAAAAATTATTTCCAGGACTTTTACAGTCATTTGAATACTAGTTAATTTTTGTAAAAAAAAAAAATTTTTTTAAATTTCTAGCCAACACAATATTTTAGTGCTGACTTAAGATTTAATTTGCATAACTTTTCCAGTCATTTGATTAACTAGATATTATATGTAAAACAAAAATGCAGTGACTGCACTCATAAATACCAATTTCTAGCCAACAAAATATTTTAGTGCTGCCTTAAGATTTTCTTTTTTTTTTATTTCCATGAATTTTCAAGTTGTTTGGTTAACTAGATCATTTTTGTAAAACACAAATGCAGAGATTACTAGCCAATTAAATATTTTAGTAATGACTTTTTAAGACTTAATTAATTTCCATAATTTTTCCTTGATATTTCCAGATTTTCCATGACCGTGGGAACGCTATTCTCAATGCTAGCACTCCCTATCATGAGGAGTGATGCAAATCCAGTAAAACAGTTAAGTGACTCTTAAGGCTTTGAATAAACATACACAATTTTATAAACAGTGTAGGTCCTTGTGTGATTGGTTTGTGAACGCTTGTTTGTCTGTCAGTCTTTTCCTTTGTCTCGTATTCTAAGTTTCTTCTGTTTAAATCAGTCCACTTTAATCCTAATGATAAGGTCAACCTTGAGTTTCATCTTCACCTCCCTTCTTCAGCATGCCTGGTCTCAGATTTTAGTTTGACAAACTCTTTGGCAACCTCATCAGTTGAGCGTTGAGAGAGGATTCGTAGTGCAGTGGTCCCGGTTTCATCAATGTTGATACGCGGGCCCAAGGGGCACCAGCACACGCAGCTTTTCCGGTCTGCTATGTCACGCAGCTGCAGTACTGCGATCCCGACCACCCGATCCGCACGACCGAAACAATAATCCTTTACCGTTATTTGAATCTCATAGCAGTCCAGACTCACGCCTTTACCCAACACACTGAGATTAAAATAAAGGAGGGGAAATGCACAAATGAGTGGACCATTCTCAGTAATATGTTTTTTTTTTGTTTACATTTTTAGAAAAATAAAAGTTTAACTGCCAGTAAGTACTAGTATTTATCTTATAGAAAATGTTGGTGTTTCAAACCACATATTTAATAGATGAGAGCGTTTTTACTCACAATTGAAAGGCCTCGTTGTACTTTGCAGTCCAGCTGTTGTTTTTCGATTTGGTTGTGAATTTTCGTTTCTTCTCTGTGAGCTGTGGGCCGACCAGGTTAACCTCCACAAATGGACGAAACATCCCGGAGGTCTGCCATTTCATGTCATTTACCGCAATCACTGGAAGAGAAAGAGATAAAGAGTTCATAAAAAGACACCAGGGGGACTTGATTAAATCGTCATTATCTCACCAGACACTTAAATGCACAGATATAAGT